GGGGGGGGGGGGGGGGGGGGAGGGAGGGGGAGGGGGAGGGGAAGGCCAGTCTGGGCAAGCGCAGGTTCGAGCCCTACCTGAGCCCGCCCCGCAGGGGAAGAGCTGCCAAGCGTTCTGTTTCTCGGCTCTCTTGCATCAGCAGCTCGCAGCCCAAGAGCTTCTTTGAGGTGGCCGTGCACTGAGTGCCTCTGGACGGAGGGGCATCAGCAAATAAAGAGGAGCTGCCACCTTGGCACGACATTTTGCGTCCTTTGCCTCGTCTTGATTCCCCGGGGCAGCACTCTGCAGTGACATCGGGGACCTTTCCGGCCTGGGGATGTCGACGCCATGGTCAGGATGCCCCCTAAGGTGACCTCTACCCCCTCCCCCACAGATTGGGGCTAGGCCCTCCTGGCTCCTTTGGCCGACGAACTGTTCCGGAGGTGGGAAATGTGTGGCTCCCCAGGACTCAGCCCTTCCGTGTGACCATCGCCTGCCTCCCACCTCCCCCTCTGCAAGAAGGCTGTGGAGACCGGGTTGGTGAGTCGATTATAGGGTGCCCTCAAGGAAGCGGATTCCCTGGGCCCCTTTTAGTCTGGGTTCAGACTTTGGCAAGAGGCAGGAATGGCATGGACAGATGGCCTTTGCTGGGGTCGCACCCCTTCTGGCCTTGTTGCATCTCCAAGTGGCTTCCACACTTCTGGACCGTGAGGGTCGGGAGTGGGAGCCGCTGCGGCTCCCTGGGCACCACGTGGTGGGGATGGAGTGTGGTCAGTTCAAGGGGCGCTCTCCTGGGATGCATTGGGAAGCCCCGAGTCCAGATCACGGGAAGTGACTGTCCCCTTCTACTCTGCCCTGGCCAGACCCCATTTGGGGTCCTGGGTCCAGTTCTGGGCACCCCAGTTCAAAAGGGGCAGCGACAAACTGCAGTCCCGAAGGGCTACTGAGATGAAATGACCGGGGTCCGTTTCACCTGCAGCGGACATGACTGAGGGGGATACGATAGCCATCATCCCCCAGAAGGGGGAGTGGGCCTGTTCTCTGGGGCCCTGGAGGCCGGGAGCAGAGCCCGGGGTTGCAACCGCAAGGCAGGCGGCCCAGGCGGGACACCCGGAGGCGCTTCCTTGCCGCGGGAGCTGCTGGCCGGCAGAACCGGCTGCCCCGTGGGGGGGGGGCGGAATTTCCTTCACTGCAGGACTCCGGGCAGGCCGGACGGTCGTCGTCGGCAGAGATGCCCTAGTGAGTCCCGCATTGAGCAGGATGTGGGATGAAATGATCTCTGGAGTCCCTAAGTCTGTTACTCTATGAGCAGGCAAAATGTCTAATAGGACGGGCAAATGGACGGGTTTCATTTTTCTTTCACTTTCTCATATTTGCTACTTTGGGTTAAATTTGGGTTTTCACCATTTCTCATTTTTTGCAAACGTAACAAATACAGTTTCTCAAACGATATGCTTTTTAAAATGTTAACACTGAAATTTCTACTTACTTAGGTTCACATTTCCCAAATATATTGACCCAAAATCGTTTTTGGAAATAACTAATCTAATATTATGTACCTTTTGCACTGACTTTTTCCCTTAATGTATCTTTCTAAATCATTATCAGCAAAGTGCATTGCAAAATTCAACAGAATTCTCCATTTTGCCTGAGTTCTGATGTACGTATTGGAGTCCTTGGGGTTCTCTGAGCTTGGTTCTTTTCTTGCAAACATTTCGTTACCCGGCTAGGTAACAACTTCAGTGCTAAAATGGGAAGGGGTTTGCTCTCTGTTTATGTGCTGTGGCCTGCCTTGCCAGTGCTGGTGAGAGGGTGGGGGTTTTGCTTTGCTCCTCTGGTAGTTCTTTGACTGGCATCTGTTTGCTGCTTGATTGTGTGCCTGGTGGTAGCCTTTGCTTATCTGGGTGATGACTGCTGGTGAAGCAATCTTCTGGTCTCTTGTCTCTTTTGAATAGTGTGTAGATGCTGTTTATCTCTGTGCGTCTGTTAATTGCTGCCTTGTCTGCATACCAGGCTTCCAAGAATTCTCTTGCATATTTGGATTTAGCTTGGCCTAAAATGCGGAGAGTTTCCCAGCTGAAACTACGGTTAAGTCTGTCCGTGTTGTGAGATTAAGGAGTTTTCATCGTGTCTTCTGGCTGCCAGTTGGTGCTCGTGGATGCGCTCTGCCAGTCTTCTGCCTGCCTGTCCTACGTAGAGTTTGTTACAGTCCTTACACTGTATGTCGTAGAGGACTCTGGTATGTCTTATTACACGATGTATGTATTATCTGACAGTGCAAAGCTGGCTATGTCTGCATACTTATAAGCGGGTTTTCAAAGGTCACTGGGAGACGCTGTGGGCTTCCAGAGGTGTGCGGGGTCCAACCTCCTGCAGGTGCTGGGATAAAGGGGGTGGGACAGCGGCCTTGTTCCCGGCAGAGAAATGCAGGACTGTGCTTGGAAGAGATTTGGGACTGGTGACCGGAGCAGTCCGCGCGGGCGGAAGGACCGCTGCCCAGTCTGCTGAGCTCCAGGTGGGCTCGGCTGCTAGCTGGGAGGGCAGGCTTGGGCAGGCCTCTAACGTCACCAAGAAGCTGCGGGTGCCACTGCAGCAGCGCAACCCCGGTGCCCGACACTGGTCCGCTCCTGCCCAAGGCTCAGGATGCAGGCCTGCAAGAGGCTTGCTGGGCAAGGAGGCCAGTAGGCGGGCAGGCCCTCCTCAGGGGAGCCTTGGCAGCCCAGGACCTGAGGGGCTCGCCCTCCTGCTCAGAAGGGGGTGCCAGGCCAGAGAGCATGCCACCCTGGCCTGAGGGGGCACTCCAGGATCCCCCTTGAGATCTCCTCCCAGCCTGGCAGAGAGACCCCTCGCCTGCCTGAAGGGGGACATCAGGACGAACCTTTGCTCCTTCCAGGGGAAGGGGTGCGCCCCGCCCTCTCTCGCCCTGCTTTGTGCCGAAGGAAAGCAACTCCTGTGAGGCTTCCCGAGAGCAGCCACTAGAGGGAGGCAGAGGAACAGCCACGCCAGTGCCGTGGCCTCGCTAAGCACCCAGCTGGAGGGCATCTCTCCCTTCCACATGAATTGTGCAAACAGATGATTTATTAAAACACAACGACATCCAGAGTGCCCGGAAGTGGAAGGAACCTAGCTCTGAGATGAATACCATTTGAATGGTTTTTAAAAAGGTGAAAACTGGCATTTGCACACTAGAAAAAAGGCCTTGTCTTATATGGATTTGGGAAGCCTTTCCCTGCCACCTCCCCTCCCCTCCCCTCCCCCCCACAACATTTATTTGCACAGTGAAATCCTGTCCAGGCCCACCCCGAAGCACATCTCACCGGGTTTCCTCCCAAATAAATGGGCCTTGAATCGCAGCATAGCTTGGGTGTAAATGCCCTTTGGAGATGTGTCTTGCATAAATAAGGTTCACCCCACGACCTGTTACATTCCCAAAGATTTGGCCCACCTTCTTCAGCCCCTCAATTCAAAGCTCGTCTCACAGCTACTTTTTCTCTGACTTTGTAGGATTAAAATTGCCAGAAGAGTGAATACTTTGGTCAAATGTTCTACGTTCCTAATGTGTATGCTAATAAGAAAATTTTCCAAAAATGCTTTCGACAAAAATAATAAGAACAGAGCTCGCCAGCAGATTCACCTCCTGCCCGCTGACTGCCTGTGGACCCCAAGGCGCTGGGCATGGGGCCGGTTTCCCTAGGCCAAGCGAGCGTGACGTCCTTCTAGGGCTAAGTCTTCCTCCGTGCCAGCCTTCCCCAAGCAGGAGCCCTCCTGGTGCGCCGGCCCTCAGCCTGCCTTGCCTTGGCTGGGGCTTGCGACGCCCAAGCCGAGGCAGCTCCCGGCACCGGCTGGGGAAGGCTGACCCTCATCCCCCCAGGCCCTCCTCCTCCACCTTCCCGGGCTAGCTTCAAAAGTGCATCCAGAATGCCAGTCTCAGCATGTGGCTCTGTTCAGATGGTTGCGCCAATACGGCCCTTAGTCTGGTGTCTCCGACCATGTTTCAGCCAAAGCGTTTTCTTGATGACCCTTCAGGCTGTGGTGAGCCATTCCTTTGCCTGTGGCCACGGGGCTGATGCCACAGGGCGCTTTCAAGTGGCACTTAGGCGTGTTTGGAGGCTCCCTGGCCCCGTTGCTGGGAGGCCTTGCTTGGTTTTGCTGGCTGGCACTCAGAGCAAACGGCCTCGTGCGGGATCTCAGCACAATTCGGCCGTGGCCCAACCCACTGTCTGATGTGGTGTTTTAAACTAGAGCGACAGGTTTGGACCCCGAAGGGTTCAGGTAGGAGGGGCCCGGTCCTGTGTCCAGCTCCATGAAGGCAGAGTAGAGAGTGGTCAGTTGCACATCAGGTAAGTTGTGGTGCTGGGAGCCACTCGGAGGGTGGAGCTTGCCACCGCCGTGGCTGGCATCCACCGGGCAGGGAGCCGGGAAGTCCCCCTGGGCCGCCGTCGGGGAGGCCGAGATGAGCACGAGGGGGTCCGTCGCCAGGCTGTCGTCTTTCAGCGCCTCCCAAAGGTTCCCTGCGAGGAAGGCAAGCGAGAGCAGGTGGAGGAGGAGCGGACCAGGATTGCCAGCCTCCTCCTTCCAGGGAAAGCCAGAAAGGCCGGAGAATTAGAAAGGGGGGGTTGGCAGGGCAGGGGGAGGCGCATTCAGAACGGGAGGACTCTGTCAGCCCTCCTCACCCTTACTCGGGAACTAAGCGCATTTGCTGATAGCCCTTCAGGAGAAACGAGTGACGGGCAGCCTGCATCTGCGGCACACATAAAAGCAGAGCTTGGATTGTGCCACCATACCCTGTGGTGCCCCTGCCCAGGGGAGACCAGATGCCACTGGGCCTTGGCAGGCAGAGACAGGCCGTGCCGCCTTCTCTCAGCTGCTCCCCGCTGCTTGATTTTGGAAGCGTGCGGGGCTGGGATGCGGACTTTGGGGGCCCCTCCGGTCTGTCCAAAGTGAAGGGGGTACCTTGGAGGTCAAACCCGGTAAGGGACGGGTTCAGGGCATCGACATCCGTGCTGAGGTCGCCTTCCAGCAGCAGCATCTCCTGCACGGGGCGGGATGCCGCGTGCGCCTTCATCCCGCACCCAGGAGGGCTCTGAGCGGGCAGAGGGGAGTCCAGGGCTGCCTGTCCGTTCTGGGCATCTGCAGCAGGGAGAAGGCGGTGAGTGCCCGGGGGCAGCGTTGGGGGGAGGGCGTGAGAGGTGGGTGGGCCCGGCCCCCCTGCTCCCTGTGCCGTGAGGGGTTGGGGGCTGGCGAGGGGGGGTGGCGGCTCACACAGAGGCAGCTGCTGGAGCGACATCTGGCCGGAGACGGAGGGACCCCCAGCTCCAGCTGGACTGCAGGCCAGCAGCTGTTCCGACTTCTCGCCTATCAGCGTTTCGAGCTCTTCTAAAGAAGGAAAGAGACCATCAGCCAAAGACGGCCCTTCGGAGCACCGTGACCTACCATGAGCCCGGCCGTGAGGGTGGGTCCAGCCCCCTTCTTGCCCCTCAGCGCCTCCTGCTCCTCCGCCGGAGCCCCCTCGGAAGCGCCCAGCGTGGGGCAGCCCTGCACGACCCAGCCCAGGATTAGGGCTGTTCGGCATCGTGCAGCGTTTCCTCCCCTTTCCCCCTTGACTGGCCTTTCTTCTAGGCTGAAAAGTCCCTCGTGGCCCTTTGTTCCCCCGGCAGCCTGAGGACCGGCCAGACGCTCGGGGCACCAGGCCCAAGATTTTGCAGGGGCACCGCCTACTGCTTTCTACACTTCTACAGCAAACACCTTTGTCTTTTGAATCTTAACTAACTGACAATTCAAAGAAAGTTGGGTTACATGTTGAATGTGTTCTGTCTTTGCTGCATTGCCTTGATTAGCTCCTTGATTAGTTATTACTAAACTAGCTCCCTGATTGTTTATTGCCAAACTAGCTCCCTGATTGGCTATTGTCAGATTAGCTCCCTGATTGGCTATTGCCAGATTAGCTCCCTGGTTGGCTATTGCCAGATTAGCTCCCTGGTGGGCTATTGCCAGAGGTACTTATCAGAAAATTGGGATTACTGTACTTTGTGGCTGCAGCCTGGCTGATCCCCTGCTTTCCCCTAACTTGAACCTCTCCATATCCTGACGTTCCAGTGGATTGCCGCTCCCCTCATATTGCCTATAAGCCCTTTGCCTCACGCGGGAAAGGGCTATCCGGCCGTCCCTGGGTTGGGAGGCAAACCGTTCTTGGCAAACAGCTGCTGTCGCCCTGCTGCGCATCTTTTGTGCTGAATGGTGGCATCCTGATTTTGCCTGCAGGATGCCTCTTGAGCAACCCCCGGCTTCTTCCTGGACACCCCCAGCCAGCGGGAAACCATCTGGCAACCAGGCCAGTGAGGCAGGAACGAGGCTGACCAGGGGCACTGAACTGACGGGGGACGACCCGTCTCTCCTGCTGTGCCACCTGCCCCAAGCGGGAGACCCCTCCTGTCAAAACTGGGGTGGCCAAGCAGGAGAGCCTGCGCCCCCCAGCCCAGCCCGCCCTGTTGATCTGCCTCTGAGCCTGCTGCCCTCGGACGCCGCTTTCCAGCAGGGCCTTCTGGCGCAGACGGGTCGGCTGGCTCTGCGAAGGGGTCCCGCGAAGCCAGCCCCTACCTGGCTTGGCCATGCTTTTCCGGACAGCCACGGGGTCTTTTCTTTTCCACTTCTGCAGTTCCTCCTGCATCTTATCAATCTTGGCTGGGTTGAGGGCCCACAAGCAGCCTTTCCTCGAGGAGCTGCCAGACTTGTTCTCCACTTTCTCAAAGCATTTATTCAGAGATAAGTTGTGGCGGACTGAGTTTTTCCAACCATCTGGAGCTGTCTAGAGCAACAAACCAGAAACACGCCTTCAAATGGCTGTGATTTGGGGAAGAAACGGTGTAAAATGTACTGCAATTTTCCTGTTCCCCTTTCTCTGTGGTTGCGTCTTTATTTCACCATCCACGTGCAGGTATCGATACTTAGAACCAGGAGCATACACGGGGGAGTAAGAAATAAAGATGGCGGCCATGGGTCTGCTATTGCAGCCACCATCTTGACTTTGCTGACCCCCCCAGATGCCCCTGCTTCGAGAGCAGAAGTTTTCCATGTTTTCAGTACCTCATTTACCCCAAACGGTAAATGAATGTGTGCAACCCCCCCATGAAGAAAACTAGACCTAAAACACCCATAAAACTGCTGTGACTGGGGGGCGCTTTTACAGATTGTGGGGCCCACGTGCTTGGCCATTGCTTAGAAGTGGCTCCAGACGCTGCTCCTGCTTTGCTGAAGCGCCCTTGCCCAGGCAGAGGCGGTTTTGGCAACCCTCCCCCTTTGCCTACATGAGCTAAATCAGATTCCCAAAAAATTGACCTCCCCAAGTTGTTTTCACCCCCCCCACACAGAGGGGCTCGACTTAAAGATTTGCTCCCCAAAGTTTATTCTTTGAACTGCAAACTGCTTGCAGCTAAAGCCGTTCTGCAGAGGGAGGGAGGGTGGGCGATGTGCCAGGCACATGGCCTTTGGCCCCTGAGAAGAGATGGGGTGTCGACCTCGTAATCACACACGAAGCCCATGGAAAGACCCGCTCGGAGCACTGTGGGGAGTCTGGGTCACCGCACTTAAGAAGGATATTTTACAGGCAGCAGAGGGACACGGAGGTCATTGTGGGGAGCTCCCCTGCAGCAACAGGGGCTCTCTAGTGTGGGAGAAAGAAGGGCAAGGAAGACCAGGAGGGGGGCATAAAATCACGCAAGGCACAGGAATGCAGAGGGAGGGAAGATTTCCCCCTCCCGCAGGCTAGACCTTGAGGTCAGCCGTCCAGCCAAATGCAGGGCCACAGAGGGGCCCCCTCTGCACCCAGCGCATAGCTAACGGGGGGGATCCACGGCCAGCAGGACGGAAAGGAGCGCAGGACGGGTCCTCAGCAGAGGATGGGGCTCTTGCGGCCCTGGCTGGGGGAGGCCGTTGCCCCTGCTGAATCCTAGGCAGCGGCAGCCCTTCCGGACCGGTTGTGGGGGGTTGCGCTGATGCCCTCCCTCCAGGCCTGTGAGAGGCCAAGGTCCTGACCCAGCCTCCGGGGTCTCCTGGCACCCTGGGCCCCTTCCATGGGCAATGCAGCTGCCCAGGACCCGCTGCCCCGCTGCGAGCCCTGGAGGCTGAGCAAAATCTCAGTGGCCCTCAGAAAACCGCTTTTCCGGGCACAAAAGGCCTCCTGGCTCTCACTGCCATCTGCAGCCAACGGCTCCTGGAGGTTGGCTGCCAACTTCGCGCAGGGGATCGGAAAATCGTTGGCTTCCCCTGGGAACGGCAGCAGCGTGCCAACTGCGCTGCCTTAAGTCGAGGTCAAAACCAGAAGGCTGTTTTTGCTGGAACAAGGTGTGCTAATTACACCTAGATTGTAAAACACCCCCTCCCTTTTAAAATGCGTTTTCTTCCTGGTTAATGAGATCAACAAAGGCTCTCCTTCCCCTGTGGGAAGTTCACTATAAACTTAATCACACAGCCAATTAGTAGGAAAGTAGTCACCCTCGTCGGCAAAAAAAGATGCTTAAAAAAAATAAAAGGCTTAGGATCCAAAGTGCCAGTCAGCTTAAAACAATTAACTAAGGCTGGTCCGGATCTTCAGGTTGGCACTGGAGGAGGAGAGTTTTATTACTTTCCTTAGCGCTGCTTCCCATTTTAAAAGATCACAGGAGGATCTAAAAGGCCATCCAGTCCAACCTTGCACCCATGCCAGAAACCTGCTGCTCTCGATTAACTCTTAATTTATTCTATCAGCTTTTATACCTCTCAATCAGATCGACCCAAGGCAGTTTACAAGAATCCAAAACCACTCAGAGAACAATCTTCCAAAATCTTCCTTTCAAGTCCTCCATAACTCCAAAACCTGAAAATGTGACCGTGGCAAGCTGATGGTTATTCTGTTCCTGCCCAGCCGTTCCTCGGAAGAGAATGCCAACCGAACTTTGGGAAGGCCACGCCAGCCTGTTGCAGCCGCCCCTACAAGCCAGCCCTCCCCGAACTCTCAAGTGGCCCCTCCCTCGGAGCTGTCTCTCATCCTGCTGCCCCCCCCCCGAGAAACGCCCTGCATGCAGACCGATGCCGCTGCAGAGGGATAAAACTAACAGCCAGATATGGTCTGAAGTCACCCCGAGGGAAGGTGGGGCGAGAACAGGCCGGCTCCCCAGCTGGAGATCCGCCCACGCCCACAACGCGGGGATGCCTTTTCCCACAGTGGGGCCTGAATGCAGAAGCGTGGCAAGCATGTGCAGAGAAAGGCCATGTGCGCAACCGCCCGCTCGCCTTCCCCTCTTCTGGGCAGCCATGACCAGGACTGCCCCTTCCTCCCCTCGCCTTCCACCAGGCGGGGTTTTAACAAGAGAGGCCTCTTCCTGCTCCACAAGCAAAGATTCGCCTGGCATTTCTGGGCGCGTTCAACACAGACCTGGACCTGGCCTTCAAAGGTGTGCCCAGCAGCCCTTCCTGCTGAGGTGGTTGGCACCCGCTCCAGGTTGTTCACAGAATCCAAGCCCTGGAAGGGACCTCGGGGGGCTTCTAGTCCAGCCCCCTACCCGGGGCAGGAATCCTCAGACCATCCCAGGCAAAGGGTTTGCTTGAACATTCCCGGGGATGGCGCCCCACAACTCCAGGAGGCAGGCGGGTCCGCTGCTTCGCGGCTCTCCCAGTCTGGAAATTCCTCCTCCTTCCGAGTTTGGATCTTCTGCTGTAAAGCTGCCAGCTGCTGGTTCTTGCCCTACTCTCGGGAGCTCTGGAGGGCGAGCCCAGTTCCTCTGGAAGACGCTGGCGGACAGAGTGAGGGGGTCGTCATTTGCTTCTCGGTGAAGGGCGCCCCGCGGCTCCGCTGGAAGCTGCTTTCACCAGGTTACCGAATTCCTCCACTTTCCTCGTTTTCCGGCCGTGCTTTAATGCTGTTCCAGTGCAGAGGAGCGTCAACAGGCTGGTTGTTCCCAGTAGGGGTGGGCAGCTGAAAGAGTTCAAAGGCTCAGGGGACCCGGAGTCAAAGGCCAGCTTGGCTGATGGGTCATGCGTAATCCTGGGACGCCCCTTTTTGGGTCCTGTGCTTTTAAACAGGGATTGCACTTTGACAGCAATTTCTCCCCTCCAAGCCCTGCTGGGAACACGAACAGGAAGGACTGAACCTCCCCCCAACCCACGGGCCTCCTGGGGTCTTGAGTGCCAACTTGCCTGCACGTAAGCTGCCTCGCAAGGCAGTCTGATCCGAGTTCACAGCCCTGCTGGTCTCCCATCCAACGACTAACCAGGCTCAATGCGGCTTAGCTTCCAGATCCAAAGTCAGCCAGAGATCTCCACTTGCTGAGATCCACCTTCTACTGTGGGAGCCCTTTTCGGCTGGGGGGGGCGAAGGCCTCTGCCCTCCAGCTCCCTCCTCTCTTCCAGGGTGAGCCCTGGGAGGCAACAGGCCTGGTCTGGAGCACAAAGCCTGTTCTTCACTCTCTTCCTCTCCCCCTTCTTGGGGGCCGGGGGGAGCCTATCCCTTTCCAGATGCGGTAATTTTGTACGCATGAACCCATCTCTCTTCCATGCTTGCTGATCCCAGGCCTTCTTCTGGGTAAACAAATGCTTACTGAAACGTGGTTTGTATTCTGAGAACTTTAATGGGCCACGCTCCAGTGGACAAGGCTGCAGTTTTGCCAGTCCTTGCAGGATTCTGCAGAGCTCAGTTGTTTCAGGCATTCTCGTGGCTATTCTGCCATCAGCCCTTCCAAGACTTGGCATGGTTAACCCGATGCACCCAGCGCAGCGTCGTGCGAGAGCCGGGCAACGGAAGATGGGAGGGTTCCTTCCGTCAAGCAGTGCAGAAACGCTCCCTTCGGGGTCCCCGGCTCGCCTCTGGAGAGCCCGAGCGGGACCTGCGGCAGAGGGAGGCAGCGTGCTGGGCTCCCCTTCAGCCCACCGTACCCTCCTTTCTGCAAAATGGCCCATTTCTACCCCCTCCTCCTGTCTCATGCTGGCTTTATGCTTTGCCAAAAGTCAGTGGGGAATCAGCTTGCTTCGTCCTCGTGGCCTCTGGCTGACTGAGGATTTCTCCCCAAAGGGACGGTCTGCGGGCTAGGTTTTCCCTTTTCCACTTGAGCATCAAACTGCCGATCGCTCTCTCCCATGCCTGGAGGAACCAATTAATTCTCCTCGGGGAATTCGCCTAGCAAGCCCTGCCTGCCCCCTGCCCTCACAAAGCCATGTTGGCTTCAAGGGGAGCCCTCCGCAGGCAGAGCTCGCTTTCTGTCCCGGGCCCTCTGAAGGCAGGATTACGGCTGCCCGGATCCTCCTCGGCCGGATAATTGGACGTTTCTGCACCGCGCTCAGCCCCAGGAAGGGAGGGGTGGCTAGCGGTGCCCTTCAGAGATTCCCAGAGGTTTTTTCAAGAAGGGTGGGGCCTTGGCACGCTTTCAGAAAGAAGGAAGGCCGGCTGCCAACATGGTCCTCCTTTAGGGTGAGGTCTCAGAGGGTAAGATTTAGCCTCTAGTCGTTCCCAAAGATCACGGCAGGAGGCAAGCGCCTTCGGGATCTTGGAAAAGCTCAGCAGGGTCTGAGCAGGTAGTAATCGGATGGGAGACCAGCAGGAAGTCCCAGGAGCGTAGGCCAGACTGGGAAGTGGAGGAAAAAACCTTCCTGCACTGCCCAGGGGGGTTCTCTGCTGCCTCCACCATCGCATCCTAGGATTCGAGGCCTGCTGCTGCACCACTGGGCGGGATCAGAGGAGCTGCCCGGCTCTGTGGCCCTGAGTTGGCTGCAGCCCTCCTGGGCTGTTCCAGCCGCAGGGAGCGCCGGAGGCTGCTGGGGCCGAGGCTGGGGTAGACTGAACCGAAAGAGCAGAGGATGGAGGGGGGCCTCCTGCAGGCAAAGGGAGCATCCCCTCCTTCCGGCTGCTGGCATGCTCCCCGGCAGAGAGATGCCATCTTGTCTGGACAAGAAGCCAGAGAGGGAGGGGGTCTGAGCCCCCCAGCCGGTGCCCAGAAGTGCTCTCTGGCCTTCTGCAGGAACAGCGTCCTGCCTCTGCCTTGGGATCCTTTGTGCAGCAAAGAACCGGGCAAAATAGCAGGGTTGGGAGAACCTCAAGAGAGAGGAAACGGTCGAGGCCAAGCAGAAGGGCGCCTGGCCTGGCTGCCGATGCCCAGTCACCAAACCTCGGCCTGACCTCTGTCTGCCTTTCTGCGTGCACAGCCACAGCAGCCTGGCATTACGCCAGCCACCGCCAGCTGTCCGGGCCCCCCAGACCTCGGCGGCGGAGAGGGGTGGGCCCAGGGAGGAGAAGCCGGGTGCCAGCTCATGTTCACCCTCTGCCTGTCGCTCACTCGGCGCCCCGAGCGGGTGACCACCGCTTCATCTTCAGACAGCGACGGCCTCTTGCGCAACGCCTCTTTCCAGCCAGTGCCAGAGAACAGGGATGGGTGGTTCAAAGAGGCTCCCGGGCGTAGGAGTGGATCTGGGCTGCTCTGACGGGAGAGGACCAGGTTGCATCACCAGCACCCTTGCGAGGGCCGTGGCAGCCAGGAAGCATTAATTGAAGCCGACTTGTGTCATTGGGGTGTTTTCCCCAGCCCTGCGTGTTTTCTTCTCGCGCCTGTTAATTGCTCCTCCACCCCTTGGCGCTGCTCTCTGGGAGCTTGGAAGGAAGAACAGCAGAGCCACTCAAGGCCCGCCGAGAGACAGGGTTTACACACGCGTGTGCCATGGAGAAAGAAGACCTGGGCAGACACCTTTTCAAAGTGCGATCCACCAGCCAAAAAGCAGGCTGGCGCACTTTGTGCTGCCTCCACAATTCCTGTTCTCCCTCCCTCAGGAGCGCTGCTGTCTTTGAGGTGTCAACGTGGGGAGGAGTAAAGGCAGGCGTTGGGGGATCCCCCGAGTTTGCCTCCCCTCCCACCGAGCGAGCGTCATCTGCTGCTGGGAGAAACAAGCACCAGCGGTCCCTCCTTCACCAGTGGGGGGCAGGGCTGGGTGAGTGGAGGCGGATGCCATGGCGGGGGTCGGTGGCCCGAGACACAAGCCGCAGGCACCTTGCCAGGCTCCTTCTGAACGCGGGCTTAGCGCTCTTTTAGAAGAGCGCCAGGCCTACGTCCAAAAGCAGCCTGGTGGGCAGAGGCAGAGCAGGGCTTGCCGGGACTCTGCTGCCCGCTGGCCTTCTGCCCGGCCTCCTGAACTGAGCAGGGCCGGGCAGCGACGGACTGCCCAAAGTCCCCTCCCAGCAATAGGCTTTTCCCATTCCGTCCTAGGAATCCTGCTTCTATTGCAAAGGCCTTTCCGTGGCTCATCCACTGATTTGCAGACACCCCACAAAAACACCAATTTTCTGCCCCTGCAGCTGGCTCGAGGGGGTCAGGATGGTGCTCATGACGACGTGGTCAAAGTCCCGTGCCTTTTTAACATGTGGTACATACACGAAGGGCAGGGCTTCGATCCGCAGTTGTGGCCCCCCTCTTGACTTCTTTGACCCCTGCTGGCACTCCTTGAACTGTGCCCTCCTCCCCCGGCATGTTTATATTTCTGCTGAGGAGGAGAAGCGCCAGGGGTGGGGGAGCTCACCTTGAAGTAAGGGAAGTGTTCGGTCATGAAATTGTAAATCTCACTGACGGGCAGACTCCCAGTTTTGCTGTTCTTGAGCGCCATAAATATGAGGATGCTGCAGAAGAGAGAGAACAAACCACAGTTAGCGAGGCCATCTTAGCAAGGAATGGGGGCTTGGCCAATGTCTCAGAAGGGACCCTCCCTTCTGAGATGTTTGCCACTTTCCTATTCCTTCTGCGGCCTCAGCCGCCTCTTATCTGACCGTTGCCTAGTCTGTGCCTCTTCCCCCTGTCTCCCAAGGTCATTCCCACATAGCACTACAGGCGCACAGAGTTGATTCTCGGCAAAGCCATGAGATCCTTGCCCACTCTCTTTCCCCCATTTCCTACACAATCTGCCCTTCAGTTGGGATCGGTGAGCCTCTGCCCCGGAGAGCCATGGCTCATTCTTCCGCCATTGTTGGGGCAGCCCTTTTTCATTTTGCAAGAATTGTGGGGGTCTGTGTGTCGGTGCATGTACACACCTGTTGTCACTTGTAGCAGATACTTCTCCAATTCACCCCCCTCCTGTTGTGGGAGCTGAGAGATGTTCCCAAGGAGGCTCCTGCCCCAGCTGGGAGTAAAAACCTGGTGGGCCTGCCAAGGTGGCTGGAGCAGCCGGGAGGAAGGCGGTGGGGAACGCGTACCTGTAAGAGTAGATGGGCTTTGGAAACAGGGATGGCGGTGACAGCTGCTGGGGGCCAGGCGGTGCAAACCTCTGGTAGGGGTGGTGGGGAGCTGAGAGGAGCGGGACCGGGTAGCTGCTGCTGGCGAGGTACTGAAAACAGAACAGGAGAAGAGATGCAGCACGGCCTTCCTCTGGGGGGGGGCTCTGCTCCCCAAGGGGCAGAGCAAAGCTCTGGATAGTTCAGGCTGGTCTGCCTCTTGCAAGAACAACAGAGGAACTGTATTTTACGCCCTTTTCCTTTCCCTTATTTTAATATTTAAACATTATTTTCAGTTGTTTTCCCCTCCGGTCTGAAACCTTAGGGTTCTGTTCCAGCGGGACACGGAAGACAGAGCTACGTCGGTCTGTGTTAACTGGAAATACAAAGGAGTCTAGCCACACTTTTCGGCTTACAAAGCTTATGCCTTTTAATAACATTGGTTAGCCTGAAAAGGCGTGATCCGATTCCTTCTGATTTGGGCCAGAATAGAGCAACGTGGCTCTCTTCCTTCCACGCCCAGCCGGAGCAGAAACCTAGCACAACATTCGCTGGCGTGACAGGAGGCTCCTCTGAGTCAAGGGTGCCCTCGTCCTTCATGGGCACGTCCTTCCAGGTGGCAGAAGGGAAGTGCCGTTCCCCTGCCTTTCTCCAGGATTTTCTATCAACTTTCCATTTCTCAACCAGGAATAACAACAACAACAACAACGGCATGACAAAGTGGCCACAGTGACACATTGGGATACCTGCAAGAAATGCCACTGGGCTGCCAGCAAGGACTGGTGGGACCCCAGAACAGACGAAGTGATCGAAAACGAAGAGGCCGAAGCGCTCGGGGGCTCTAGAATCCAGACAGACCAGCCCCTGCCACACAACGCCCCAGACTTAACAGTTGTTGACAAGAAAGACAAAAAGGTCTGGATATGGACACTGCAATGCCTGGAGGCAGCAGAAGAGAAGGGAGAGAACTGGAGAAAGTCACAAGATACAAAGACCTGCGAATAGAAGTAGAACGACTGCGGCAAAAGGAAGTCCCAGTAGTAATAGGCACCTCGGGTGCCATCCCAAAACACCTGGAGCACCCCTGGAAGGCCATCGGCACTGACCAAATCACCACCTGTCCATTGCAAAAGGCGGCTTTACTTGGAACAGCTTCCATCCTGCGACGATGCCTTTAACACCATCGAACAAGACCTTGGGAAGGACTCGATGGGTAGATAAAAATGCCAGATCCCGCCTAAGCATCTGGCTCACTGTGTGACCGACAATAATACAGCAATATCAAAATTGTAGTCATTAAAACAGCTCAGTTGGGTTCTTGGTGTTCCCTGAGCTTGGTTATTTTCAAACAGCTGTTTCGGGGAAGACCAAAACCCCAATTCAGCCCTGAGCTACAAATATGCTTTGCTGTCGAAACAACTCAGTGCAAGAAACCTTTATGGTCAGATGCTCATCAAGCGACCAGCCTTTTTAAAGGTCCGTGTCAGGAATTAAAAGACTTGGCTGTGGGAAGATTGTCTTGGCTTCTCAAACCCTGCAAGGTTTAAAGAAGGAACCCAATTCCCCCTTTCTGCTCCCTCTTGGCGTTTGTCTCTCAGCCGCCTGCTCTCGTATAGCTGTCCCCAACCTGGCGCCCTCAGGACAGGTTCCTGCAACAGCTCCCTCCGTGTCTGGAAAGGGCCCGGCAGGGACGTCCGTCCCACTCAAAGAAACCAGAGGACCTCCGAGGGCATCCATGGGCACCCTCCGCTCCCATTTCATCAGGCTGGGAAAGGAGAAGGGGGGTGACGGAGGAGGACGAAGGCCGCCCAGCGCCTGGAAGGGGCTCGTGCACGCGCGGCCAAGCGCTGCGCCCTCTCGCTCCAGGAAGAGCGGACTGAAGCTCCGGAAGGCGAAGTTTGGCAGAAGGCTAGAGAAAACGTCCAAACGTCTAAGCTGCAGTTGGACAGTGATCCCTTGGCCTGGCTCCCCTTTCCTGGACGCACCAGCTACCCGTCTAGCTGTGGAGTCTGGATTCCGCCCTCCAGGGACAGCAGGGGCCCGGGGCCCGGCCTCCCGCTTGGATGCTTCCCAGAGGCCCCTGTGAGAGGCAGCCACTGGTCACAGAGAACCTGGCCCTGGGTTGCCCTGCTCCGGAACAGCCCCCCGGAGCCCCCCTTGTCCCTGCAAGCCAGCTTTGACCCTGATGCTCCCAGGGACGCCCTGGGGCTGCCACCCCGCCTGGCTGGCCTGCCAGGGTTGGGAGCTTGGCTTTCTTGGCTTCGGTGTCTCCTTGGCGTCCCTGGGAGGAGCCGGCAGAGGCCACCAGGAGGGGCCCCAGAAGTCTGAAGGCTATTTGCTTTTATTGGTTTCGCTGTTCTCACCTCTTTTTTTAGGGAAGGAGGACAGGCAGCAGCAGCCCAGTGATGCCCGGCTTTTGAAACTTTTACGAGGCAAGGCTGGCATTAGCAAGCCACGGTTGGCAGGCAGCTGGGGAGGGGCAGCCACAAGGCAGTTCTGCGGCTGAGCCAGCTCCGGATTCTTCCCCCACGGAGAAATGAGGAAGTGACCGGCTCTTGGGCGCTGGGAGAAGCTGCCGGTCCCTTGGAAGGCAAGGAGCCGCCGGCCTCCTCCGAAAAGGGGCATGAAGGTCCCTGGCACAGGAAGGGTGAAGCAGCCAAAGGGAGGGAGTGGGGCCACCCCTCCATGCTGAAGGAAACGGGGCCCAAGCCAGCCCCCCAGATCATCGTGGGGCCAGGGAGAGAGCTCAGGGAGCCACGGCGGGTCATGCAGAGCCGAAGGGAGCAAGGCACGATTCAGGGCCACGCATCACACCACAAGCCAACCAGTAGAAGATTCAGTCGCGGGAGTCAGGGGTGTCTGCAGGGGGAGGTCAAAGAAGTCAAGACGCTGGCTATCCACCTGTTTTTTATGTGTGTGGTAGGTGTGATCCTCCATGGGGGCGGCCAAGCTGGCTTTTTGGCCATACCCTGTGACAGTCCCAGCAGAAGGAGCTTGGGGGCTTGTTTTAGGGTGCCCTGGACCCCCACTGGAAACAGAGAGAAGCCAAAGCTCAGGATTCTCAGACGAGGCTGTCAGACAGGGTTGTGTTCAGCATCCCGGCTGCTCCGCAAAGAAGGAAGGTGCCAGAAGCCTCCGGGTGTGTTTCAGTCTTCTTCGGCCAGAAAACTGAACAGCACGATGAAGGTTAGGATGAAAGCTAGAGACCGGTAGAAGCACGGTCAGGAAATTCCTCCCTTAATGAGCCTTAATGAAAGAAAGGTTTCTCCAGTGCCAGGGAGCTGAAGGAATCAGCTGACGGCCTGAGAAATCCTGGGGAAACCCTGCCAAGTGGGAGATGGTCGGAGAGTGGCATTTCCGGGGAGGGTCAAAGCAGGCAGGAGGTGGTTGCGGCAAGGGGACCCAGGCCCCGCCCCTTCTGTGCGTGCGCCAACGTGGCATGCGCTTTCAAAGGGAAGAAGGCTTCAATTGCATCACCATGACCTCCATCTTGCCTGTTTTGACCCCCTCCCCATGGATCCTGCTGGATTGGAGGAAAAAGATGTTCGAACAAACTACAAAACCATCTGATATTGATAACTAGCAAGCTTCTAAGCATGTGCGCCATAAAGAGATCACTCTATAAGGAACCTGAAAGCAATGTGGTCATTATTAGAATTTACAGCGTGGCTTTTTGGAGAACAAATCTTGCCAGATTCATGTTCTGAGTGAGTAACGTCTGTTAATGGATTATGGAAACGCTATAGATATAATATACCTTGATTTCAGCAAAGCATTTGACAAAGTACTAAATGACATGCTGATTAGCAGAATTAATTAAGTGACTACACAGCTCTGACTCAAAAATTATCCTGAAAAAAAATCATCAATGATTCCTCATTAAATTGGAGAGACATACTGAATGGGGCACAGCAAAGATCAACCCCAAGTCATCTATTCTGTATTTTTATTAATGATTTGGATGAAGAGGTGGATGAGATGCTTATCAGAGCTGCAGGTGGCTCAAAATTGGGAGGGAATAGGCAGTGCCCTGGAAGACACAAATAAAATTCAAAATCTTGATGGAAATGGGCTGGAAGTTACAGAATGAAATTTCATTTAAAAGACAAATTCAAAGTTCTTCACTCAGGAAACAATACTTAACTGCACAAGTATAGGATGGGAAATTGATTGATTGATTGAATGATTGATTGATTGATTATATTCTGTGCCATCAAGTCTGGGTCAACTTAACGGCACGTAATATAGATGCCACCTAGACAGGCCTTCTTCTCCTGTCTCCTGGAGGACCCTTCCCCAGCCTGGCTCTTCAGGTCCGCCCACAGTGCACCCATCACCCCTGCCAGGGAGTCCATCCACCTGGTTCTGGTCATCCTCTGCTTCTCTTTCCTTTCGCCCTTCCCAGCATTACGGGCTGCTCAAGGACGCTGGGTCTTTGCGTGATGTGTCCAGAATATGACAGTTCGAGCCCGTTCATTTGGCTTGGTAAAGGCACTTGTGAAAAAAATCTTGGCTTGCCAGTTGAATGTGACCCAGCGCTGTAATAGGAGTTCAAAAAAGGCCAGTGCAATTTTGGCCGCATCAGCTGAAGTCTAGTTTCTAATTTGTGGGATTAAACATTTTGGTGGGAAAGGTGGAAGGAAAGAGAGGGAGAGGACAGCCAGCAGGTGGAAGGAGTCAGTTACAGCAGCAACGGGGCACCGCTGGAACACCTGAAAGTCCAGGTTAGGGCAGATCATTTTTATTTATTTATTCACTTATTTATTCAATTTCTATAGCCACCCATCTCAGCCAACTGACTTCACGGAGAGAATCTATGCGCTCATTAAGTGTCAACACTGACTTGATGGCACATTAATCAATCAAACAAACAAACATTTTCCAACAGTCAGTGCAGACATCAGTTATGAAAAGAGCCCCCGGTTGCTACAAAGTGCAGAGCCAAACATTTGCTGTAATGTGGGAAAGGGAGGGGGGAAAGCACGGGGCTTAAACTGGCGGGGCGCAAAAGGGGATCACACCTCCCACTGACTGAGGACGACCAACCGGTCACACGGTGCCATTCTGGTTGCGACAAAGGCTCTCTTCAGGTTGTGCCATGTCAGCATCTGAGCGGCTTCTGCCACATTTGAGCCCAGCTCCTTGGTTAAGCCGGCTAAAGTTGGGGCACATGACTTCGAGCCATCTTATCCCGCATTGCCCAAAGCCCGCTTGGGGACTTGATGGCCCAAGTGATGCCTTCCAGCTCTGCAAATCTGTGGGCAGTATGATGAAGACGGGGAGGGGTGGCCCCGGGAGCCCTGAAAGCAGCCCCTGGCCCTTCGGTGGCTGGCATCTGCCAGCGGTAACTCGGGAGGGACAACAGTTTGATGGGGCAGCAGATAATCAGGGGAGATGTGATGGTCTCAGGCGGGTGGGGGTGGCCCAAGGCCATTCCGTATTACCCCAGCCGCTGATACCTACTTGCCCATGTGTTTTGGAGCAGGCTTCCCCAACCTGTTGCCCTACAAAAGTGTTGCTCTCCTGGCCCATAATCCCCAGCCAGGACAGCCCTGGCTTGCCCCCTGGGAATTACGGGAGTTGAAACCCAGGACATCCCGAAGACACCGACTTGGGGAAGGCCGTGCAGACAAAAATAGCAATCAGTCCAAAGGATCTGGGGACGGCAGCAGTGAGGGACCCCCCTCCCCACCCCAGTGCTTGGAAGCCAACTTCCAAGACGCAAGAGGCAGAAAGGGCCTCCAAAGGAACCGGGCACGGACTTCAAACGGGCACCAAGGCTTTCCCTGGAACCCCAAGCTGGCCCAGGGCACCACCTCCAGCTCTGCCCTTACCTGGTGGAAGGGGTGCGAGGCGCAGTACCCTGGTAGTCCGTGAGGCTGGTAGCAGGAGAGGCTGGGCTGCTCCTCCAGGGGGGGTGTCTTCAGCCTGGCATCTGCCTCCTGGGGGGATGAGAACGTTAGGGCCCACGCTGTCTCCCCAAAGGACCGAGTCCTCTTTCTTCTTCCCAAGGCTGCGCTGGCCAGAGAATTGCAGAAGTGGGGGACTGACCCGGCTGGGCTCCCCAGACCCACCAGGCAGAGGCCTTGGGCCCCGCAGCACGGAGGAAGCCCACTCTGCTTCTTGGCCTCCATCAACCACTGCTCTTGCTCGCAGGTTTAGGGACATTTACTACCACATCTGTTCTATGGTGGTCTGAGGCTCATTCAGCCAAGAGGGCCCATAAAGGGATCAGTGCCCCCCTGCCCTTTCTTGCAGTGCTGTGCCCATCTGCCATCCCAAGACTAACTTCACTGCTTGGCCCCCCTTTTGTTCTCAGCCCTGACCGCCTGCATTCCCTATTCACACAAGGGCTTATCCTGGATTAGGGTGGAAATGGTGTCAGTGGGACTGCAGAGGCCCTGGGGCTGGGAGAAAACCCTGGGGCTTGGGTTTCCCCACTGCTTTGACCAGCTCTCTTTTCCTGGGAACAGGCGACATGGAGGCCTGTCTTGCACAGCCTTGGAAGGAAAGACGGTACTACCCTGGGAATGGGACATACATGGGTCAGCTGTGGCTCCACCAGCACCCCACTGATGTTCTCAGAACCTCTTCAGATAGGCAGGACAATGTTTCTTCACCTTTTTTGAACTTGGTTTGGCTGGATTTGGGGGCAAGATGGGTGCAGAAGAAATACCTTAATGGTGATAGCAGTTCAGTGTCCTAATCAAGAGCCAAGGCCTGGGAACTCTTGAGGCCTCCGAGGCCTCTGCTGGGGAGGGAATGCGCCAACCCTGGCTTTTCTGCATGGAGTAGTAGGTTGAACCAGGTGGTCTCCAAGGGTGCTCCCCACCCCTCCAGATTCCCTTATTTTGATCTGACCCCTCCAGATCAGTTATTCTGAAGGCAGCGTGGCCAAGTCCCCGTTAGCCTGAACATGTCATGGTGGCCCATTTGGTTGCAAAATGCCCTGCAGATACAGTGACTGATCTGGGGCCTGAAGCTGTCAGAGCCATCTTCCCCCAGCCCACCTGCAGAACTTCTGGGAGGAGACAGACAGCCTCAGCACAGCAGTGGTTCTGCTTCATGCTGCTCATTAAGCAATTAGAAGCTCTTTTTAATCATCTCCAGGTCAGAACATCAGAGTGTTTATTAATCCTTTGGCTTGTAATCCCTGCTATCCAACCTAACGGTCAGGCAGGCGAGGTCAGGAGACAGCCGCACGGACTGCTGGAGCTCTGTTGTTGCAGGGGAGAACAACAGATTCCCTCTCCCCGCTGCTTAGACCAAAGAGCATCAAGGCAGGGCAATCCTGAGTTCCTTTCCCATTCGCTCCTCCCTTTGGGGCTGAGCTGGTGTTTGCCTGATGGCTGTTGAAGGCTTTCTTCAAGGCCCTTCCACACTCCTCTGCACTGACCCCAAGAGGAGCCTCAGCTGCTGGCTTTAGGCCGCCCCCTCCAAGCTGCTGCCCCGATCCGGCACTGACAAACCCTGGGTCAAGGGCCAAGGAGCTCCCCTCTCCTCACAGCTACTCTGCCCAGTCTTGCTCCAAGGCCTGGAGCTGGAACAGACCAGCGGTCCCTCTCCGGTGAAACACAACCGGAGCTCCGGCATGAACACGCACGTCTTTCCCTTTGCTCTTCCCCTCCCTGGGTGGAAGGCCCAGCGCGTCAGGATGGCTTGCCAACTGTCATTCTCTGCTCGGAGTTTACGATGACTCAGTGGCTGTGTTCAGCCCAGCCGGATTCTTTGCCTCTCTGCAAAAGAGGCAGGCTGAGATTGGAAGAGGGGGCTGTTGGGTGGAGTCCACACGGAGAGGATTGGGGGCAACCACCCTTCCAGGTTCTGGGTTCGCATCAGAGCAAATGCCTGCTGGCCCAGCCCAGGTCAGGAGCACTGCACACGGGGGTTGGGGGAGATGCCCCCACCCCATTCACAAAAGAGATCCTGAGGACCCCTCCTCGCCACACAGAAAGTCTAGCTTCGTTTCACTGGCCTGGTCCCAAGGGGCGGGAAGGGCCCTCCAGGACCCACGGGCACCTGACGAGCCAGAAGGAGCAGGTGCCCAGCTAAGCTTCCCCCGTTTCCAGCAGGGGGTACCCAGGTCCTGGCTGTGTTTCCTCTGGAATCGGAAATGAAGTTGCCCCCCTCCCCAATCTGGGGGACTCTATTCCACCCCGTCCTTCAATTATCATCTCAACTATCATTCAAATATCAACCCAAGAAACAGTGTCAAAAGGAGATTATTCCACACCAGGAATATTGTGAACCAGAGTTGGAAACAGGTTTCAAATGCTGTGGGGAAAAATGGCTAAGTCCATAGAAAGAATAGGAAACGTCTCCAGTCTCCTGCACTCTACCACTCTCAGCAGCTGGGGGGCAGAGGGAGGGAGTCTTCTGGGGTGGGGTGGGGGGGTGAGAAGCTGATTCCCACGGGGGATGAAGGAAGCTGAGCTCCAGGCCTGCTGGAGGCCGCAAGGGTGGACCAGGAAGGCTGAGAGCATCTTCCCCAGCTCTTGGGGCTCCCCGAGAGACACGCTTTCGGCTGAAAGTCAAGAGGACTCACCATGGCCTGCTGGATATGGGGTTCCTGCCCCAGACTATTGTACTGGAGCCCATTGCTCCAGGCTGGTTCTGGGCCGAGGTGGGGAAGATGTGCAGGAAACCCCTCGGCGGCCTCTCTGGTCCCTGGCAGGCCAGCCATCTCCTCAAAGCCTTCCTGGCCAGCAGCGTGGGGCAGCCCGGCCTCCAGCACGAGGGCCAGGTGGGCCTCAGGGAAGGCTTCCTCCAGGAACTGCCTCTTGTAAGGGTGGAAAGGGGTCCGGAGAGCGTTCCTGGGGAAGCGGCCAGAGGGGCCTCTCTCCTCGTAGCTGGAGCGCCTGAACAACTCTGCCGGCGAAGGGACCTTGTAGGCAGCTGTCTCCGGGGGTATGGGCTGGCCTGCTGGAAACCGGGCATAGAGCTGCTCGGGGGATGGAGAAGAGGCACCGGAGGAGCTCGAGGGGGATCCAGAAGGGTTTCTCTCTGGCCGGCGGCGTCCATCAGATGGCTGGCAGTGGAACCCTGGATGCTCCTGTGGGGAAGAGCCATGCTGGTGTGTGAAGGGCCCCCAGAAGCTCTCTGGTCCTTCGGATGGACCTGCCCCCAAAGGGACCCTGATGGCCACACGCTGATGGGACTGGGTCCATCCCTGGGACTGCCGGTTGAAGCAAGGCAAGTGAGGGGAAAGGAGCCCCGAGTGAGACCCCCTCTGACCCAGCAGGAGCTGACCTCTCCCAGTGCTCGGATGCCCAGCGTTCTTTAGAGCAGCCGGGGGCTCCTTCCTGTTGACCTGGACACTCGGTCCAGCTGCACAGAGCTCTTCCCACCACCTGGAGGCCTCTGTCAGGCCCCCTTGCCTGAAAGTCCTGCTTCCGCCATGTGGCTGCAGAACAGAAGGACGCCACGTATTTCCTCTTTGGAGGAGGCTGCATGATCTCCCACAGTCCTGGGGGGTGGAAACCTGGGGAAACAATTCCTTTGGAGCAGGGGGAGGGCTTATTTCAACTGCGGGAGGGTCAGGCAGTGCCAAAACCTTTGGTCATGTTCCACCACCCGGGACCACCCCGCTTGGTTCCCAGAGGGCACCCTCCCCACCAGCTCTCCCAAATGTCCCGCCTACAGCAACCCCGTCATCCTCTCCGGCTCAGAGGAAGGGCGGAGGGCTCCGCTTCTTGGGGTGGGCCATGGCACCTGCCTTGGCTGGCTGGCTAGCTAGCTCAAAGGGCCCCCCGCTTTCCATCACTGTACAGTCTGGAAAAGAGGCAAAGCAGCAAGCCTTACCTGCCGGGCAGGGGATCCTGACTCTTCGCAGGCCTGCATTCGGTCACCGCATGGGTCGCTCTCCAGAGGATCCAAGGAAGGAAACGTAATACTCGCTTGGTCCTGGAGCAAGGAAACCATTGCCACACTCGACCAGGGATCTGGGGCAAGGAAAAAACACCACAGGATCAGAGAACGAAATCAGCTTTGGGGGGAAAAGGAAGAGAAGGGCTCTGCCGCCACAGGTTCCGCGCAAGGCCCTTCTGGGCAAAGCATGTCTGGCTTCTGACCCGCGGCACCGTCTGCATGGGCAGGCAGCCCCCATCTCTCCGTCGTCTCGCCACCAAGCCCCTGGCAGCTGCAGAGCAGGGGGAGGCTGAGAGTCGAGGCAAGGCCTCCCTTTGCCACCCTCCTGGGTCCCGTGGAGGGCAGAAGAGAGGAGGGCCCCCGGAAATGACAGGCAGCGGCGGGGGCATTGCAAGGAGGGGGTCAGAAGGCGACGAGGGGTAAAACGTAGTTTAAGTCCACAACAGCCAGCTAACATTAGGCTCCCAATTCACTGAGGTATAGGAAGGAGGGGAGGGGGTGCAACGCAGTCAGACGTGCAAGACTGAGGTCAGTCCTTTTAGCTAGACCAGACCAAGGATGGCCCTCCACAGGAAGACTAAAACTACTTTTATTAAGATTGGCTATAATAACAGAAACTTGCAAGTTGCCTCTACCCTAGTGTTTCTCAACCTCGGCAACATGAAGACGTGTGGACTTCAACTCCCAGAATTCCATGCTGGCTGGGGAATTCTGGGAGTTGAAGTCCACACGTCTTAAAGTTGCCAAGCTGAGAAATACTGGTGCACACCATGTGATCAAAGCCCCCCATCCTTTTTGATCTGTGTTTCCAGGCTGGGAAGGCAGTTTCTGCAAGACTTCCTCACTGAAAGGACTCACTTTTAGGGACACAGATTGAGGATCACAGAGGTATTATTTGCAAGCACTTCTCTCTCTCCATGTGTAAAACTTTCACACTGCAGCTCTGCTCCCGAGACCAGATTTTGTTTTTGTTTTTAAGAAAGATAGTATTAAAAATGCAGCATTTAATAGGCACCTTCCTGTATGAATTAGAACCACCCAGTCAAAATCAAAGCTTCATAAAGAGGACAGAGCAAATCAATGCTTCTTGAATCTGACCCAGAAGGGGGCCCAGATTCAGCTCTGCTGCCGCTCAGCAAATAGCCTTAATCCTGGATGGGGGGCTTCAGCGGCAGGAAAGAGTGAGCATCAAAAATATCTTCACAGCAACGGTGGTTTGGTCTTGGGGAGCAAAGGGCTCTCTCTCTGGGTGCCTGCTGTGCAAGCAGAGACCAGACTATCATCTGGGGGAGGGTACAAGCTTCACTTCCAGATTTCCTTCATGGAGCAACTGTTTGGAGTAGAAGCTCTGCCTCCATCCCACCCTGCAGTGCTATGAACGAAATCCTGAGGGGCACATCGCTTCACCTGCCAACACCCAGCTTCCACTTTCAGAACTCCCAGAGATACAAAACTCCTTCATTTCGCCTTTGAAATGGAATTTATGGACTTCACCGTGCCCGCCTGTTTCCTGAACTCCGTTGCTGTGTAGAGGACTGGTGTGCTACGTCTGGCAGCACAAGAACCACCACCAGCGGCACAAGGATCAGTGAATGCTGGTACGGCTACATTGCGCAGCCTTTGTGGGTCCTCCGAGGGCTTTAGGTCAGCCCGGCCGTCTGGAAGCGGGTCTTTCGCACGATTTTTCAATTGCAACAGTGACCTTCTTGAACACATGGATGGCTTATACAATGCCACTGCTATAGGGCAGAAGAAATAAAATAAATTCCCTGTGGAAACCCCCACCCCCACCCCCCAGCGTGTCGCAAGGGAGTCCTTGGAGTCGCAGCCTTCAGCTCGGCTGGCCCTCCTCCTCCAGCCGCAGGAGAAGGCGGCCCTGATGGGGAACGGAGAAGAGGCGCAGGGACGGCCGACTCCTCGGGGCTGCGCTGGAGATAGAAGCGCCAGCGCTCCTCACGCGTGCGAGGCGCACCGGGGAGGAGACCCGAGACAGTCCTTCAGGGCCAGTCTGGCGCTCCGCTCGCTGCTGCTCCCCCTGTTTCCCCCGAGGGGACTAGGGGGCTAAGTCCTCCCTCCCCCCCCCCGCTTTTGTAGTTCAAAGGGGACGGCTGAGTCAGGTCTGCGGCGACGACGTTGCCTCCGGGGGCAGCACAAGCGGGAG